CAACCTTGGTGATTCTGTGATTCTGTGAAGTTAGAGAATTATTAAAGACCAAAGGAAGATGTATGCTTAAAGTAAGATTGTAAAAACAGCAGCCTGAAGAAATTAAAAATTCTATGACTAATGCAGTGGTAGAGCTGTCTTTTACATGACACCAGCAGTATTTACACATCTGCCCAACATCAGGAGAAGGAAATAGCGAATCAGTTTTCTTTCAAATGTGTAAAAATGTCCAAAAAGCAACAGGTTGCTGGGAAAAGCCATAGAGTAGGCAAGCTGAGCACAATAGTTTTCATATATTTTTCCCATTTCCAAAATGTTCAGGGGACTTCACAAGAAGCTCAGAATACACTAGGTCAAAACTCTAAAGCTGACACTGGAAATTTACCAAAAATGTGTATCATGAGGTAACACAGCATGTTTGTGAATAAGTGTTGTGAAGCATAGAAATGGAAGTGTGAAAATTTCACCTTGGCTCTGTTTTCATCCCAGCACGTGGAGTTGTAGATGCTGATTCCCATTATTACCAAGTCACATGCATGATTTCCTCTCCGCATTGTGTGCGCAGCACTGAAACCATGCTTTGTCACATCTCCAAGTTCCTCTCAGTTTAGCCCAAACCCCTTTTTTCCGTGCTCAGCACTGCAGCACCAGCACTCTGCAGCTCAAGAAAAGTCATTGTATTTTTACATTGCCTTGAGCATCATCAGCAAAATTGCCAGACTGTCTGTAGGGACAGTCTGTGATATTTTGTGTGCATGTGTGGTCGTGCCTCTGTGTGTGTGTGTGTGTGTGTGTTTATATAAAGCAGAAAAGAGCACAGTTTGCTTTTTAGGTGCCAACTTGACCTTGTGGCAGCTGTTCGAAAAGCAAGTATCTCATTGTGAGTTGTAAATTGAACAACTTGTTATGGAGCTACTGAAGGAGACTAAATTTGAAATGCCAAAATTATTATACAACTTTTATCAAGAGAGTGCATCCATCAGTCACAGAGATAAATTGGGCTTTAAACAGCTTTCAAATATACGTGTCCTCTTACTGACAACTATAGAAAGTTGCCGTAGCGGTGCAGAGAGCCAGATTGGACCTGCTGCTTGCATGGAAAGCAATGTGCTTGTATATGTTTTCATCCCTATTTTGCAGAAGCTGGGAGATAATTCTTATCCCTTTATGGAACCACTTAAGAGCACCCTCAAGAAGTAGTGCCCAGCTGTGCTGACCACAGCACATACAAATAAACTTGCACTGAGGAACTGAGTGGAGTGTTCTAAACCAAAAAGCTGTCACACAGAGCCTTGTCAGTGGTGGGACAGCCGTGTTGCTGTCCTTTCCTGTCCTGGGGATATTAGCCTCTTCACCAGGCCAGTTTCAAAGTTGCATCACTGTCCCACCAGGGACGTGAGATTCCAAGGGCCAGCAACCCTGGGTCCCTGGCCTAGTGGGTGCAGCAGCTGGCTGGAAGACTGCTGTACCCCCTGGATTGTGATTTTATGTTAATTATTGGTAGCCAGCTCTGTATTTTTCCTGGGAACAGAAACTCAAGTCGGCGTCTGCTCCAAGACCTTACCCTCCATTATTTTCTCTGTGGCCCCAGGAATCTTGAACTTCTGGTTGTTTTCAGCAGAAAAGGCTTGAGGTTGCCATAGCAAACTAATGGCTGTGTGGAAGGAAGAGCTGTGAATTTAAACTCTAAGGCTTAGGAATGAATCCCACCGTTTTCATGGCATGGACAAATTCTTTAACTGGCCTATCGTTAGATGAAAGCTCTTCCTCCAGCCTCTTCAAAGGGAGGATGAGCCTAAGTGAGTCTTAAGCAGATGAAGCTAGTTGTTGCCTGAGTGAAAGAATCATAGAATAGGAAGAAGGAACCCATTTCGTGGAGACACACACCTTGGTGTTTCAAGCCAGTATCTTCATTCAGAGCAGAGGCAGAGAGGCAGGCGTACCCCTTTCCTTAGCATTTTCCACTGATCGCTGATGCACCCTGCACTCTGCATTCCCTGTCTCTGGCCCATGCAGCACTCCTGCTGCTGTGGGCATAGGTACTTGTCATACATAGGTCAGAATTTTCAGGTGCATAATGAAGCAAGGCAAATTCTGGTGCTGGAGCCTGAGGCTTAACTTTCAGCCCACAAATGGCTTTGAAAATATCGTTCTTAATCTCCTCATTTCTCTCTTCACATCCTGTTTACAGATGGGATAGTTTAGACTTACCCATGTAAAAGGGATAATATAACACATTGCTGGGATGTTTTGTAACATCTCAAGTTCTAGACAAATGTAAAGTATTGCTATTCATATTCACAAATATTTTGATGGTATAGTTTGTATGTGACCTGGAGAAAACTTAGGCAATAAATCCACTGTACCGCAGTTACATTATAACTCTGATATAGAAGGTGTCTTTGACCACCACTTGTTGTTGAGAGCAGCATGTAATAGGCACTGACTGCTAAAAGGAGTTAAGCACCTAAATGCATGTGAAAATTCCCACTACAGAGCCTATGCATTTCCCTAGACTCCGTAAAACCTTTAAACATTCAGCCATAAAAATCTTCCTTGAGTGTGTAGGTGGGGCAAAAAGACCCTTAATGTGCTAAATCCATACCCCATCAAAGCTTGTCAATAAATTGAAGTCAAGGAAGTGATTATGGCGGGATGCAATATATGCGTTTTCAGGCTCTTTCACAGCTTTTTGTGTAATACCCTGATGCATAATGTTACTGCTGCTGCACTGCAATTAACATCAGTAGATGGTTTTACACCATGACCAGATGAAATCCTAGGGCGGCAACAATTGTTCAGTGAGCTGGACGAAGTGTTTCCACTTTCCCATAAGGCACAGGATTTTTGTAATTCATTCTGCCAAAAGAACAAAATCTTTGCTCTGTACTTGCTTTTGCTGTTGTATTCAGATCTGTCTCAGTTACAGAGTAAACCTCTTTTTCTTTTTTCTTTTCCTCATTTTCTCTAACTGCATGCTGTCTACAATTCATAGAGGTTTTTAATTGTTCTTGTTATATTGAAAGGACAGAAATATTTAAAGTTTTTAAGGAGAAACATTCCCCCAGCCCCTTCTAGCTTCAAGGGCTGTTTGAAATAACTACATCTTCAGCCATTCATCTAGAGCACTGAAAACCGAGTACAGAACACTTTCCCATGCGTAGTGCTTTCAGCTGAGACCTGTGAACTGTTGTCCTTCCCCTCTGGTGGACAGCTAATAGATGGAGCAGGGTTTATTTTGATGGTAAGGTGTTTTGTGTCACTCATTTATCCTCATGTGCCAGTGCAAGACCGCCCTCTCGTGTCAGGAGTTTTGCATGTGCTCAGTCTGTTTTGTGCCCCCCAGCTAATGGAGTATAATCATTCACGCCACTAAGCCTGGAGAAGGCAGTAAATACATGTATTTAATGATCAGAATTGTTCCTCCCAACTCATGTGCTTAATGTGTTCTGCTAATGCACGCGATAGCTTCTTTCTATACGTTATGTAATATTTGGATTAAAGGTATTCTATTAAAAAGTTTAAATATGAACCTGTTAATTGATTTTTACTTTCTCTCCCTTAGCTATGACTGTCCGTAACGGAGGAAATGTGCTGGTTCCCTGTTACCCCTCTGGAGTAATATATGATCTGCTGGAGTGCTTATATCAGTATATTGACTCTGCTGGACTCTCCAACGTCCCTTTTTATTTCATCTCACCTGTTGCCAACAGCTCACTTGAGTTCTCCCAGATCTTTGCTGAATGGTAGGTGTTAAAGGGCTGCCTCATCAGCCTCAATTCACACACTCAACTGTGGTAAATAGATATATGCAGGTTATCTCTACTTGACATATTCTAATATATACTCGATTAGAATTGTGAACATGTTTCTCGAGTCACAAGGTTGTACGTGTGTGTGTAAGTAGATGTTCTATAATTAGGGAAGCATCATTTCCTGTAGAATACACAAACTCAAATAGTCTGTCCTTTTTGGTACTTCTACAGACCATTAAATGATGTACCTGGCTTGAGTGAATTTCAGCTGTGCCTGTTTGCACAACTGATCCAGTGGCCTCAAAACTAACCATGTTCTCCCTGAATAAGCAAAATAGATTTTTCAAGCTTCATTTTGCTGATCCAGCAATGTAGTTCCATGGCAAAAAAAAGGCCAACAGTATCCTGGGCTGCCTTAGGTAGAGCACTGCCAGCAAGTCAGGGAAGGGGATCCTTCTCTGCTCAGCACTGGTGAGGCTACATGGAGAGTGCTGTGATTCATTCTGGGCTCCACAGTACAAGGGTATGGTCTCTACTGGAGTGAGGCCAGCACAGGGACACAAAGGTGAGGAGAGGGTGAGAGAGCTGGGACTCTCCAGCCTAGAGAACAGAAGGCTCAGGGGATCTTACCAATGTGTGTGGGATCTTATCAAATCAATACCTGATGGGAAGAAATGATAATGAGGGAGCCAGTCTCTTCTCAGCGGGGCCCACTGACAGAACAAGAGGCACAAATTAAAACACATGAAATTCCATATGAACAAAAGAAGCCCACTTTTTTACTGTGAGGGTGGTCAGCCACTGGAACAGGTTGTGCAGAGAGGTTGTGGAGTCTCTATGGAAACACCAAAACCCAACTGGACGCAGTTCTGGAAGACCTGCTCTAGCTGACAGTGCTTTAGCAGGGGCTTTGACTAGATGATCTCAAGAGGTCCCTTCCAACCTCAACCATTCCATGATTCTGAGCCATGGAAAGGAGAACCCAACCACTTCTAACTGTTCCTAAGTTCTTACAAATGGAGACACGCTCTAGATTATTAGATAGAGTAATTTAGCTTTTCCTTCCTTTTTTCCAGATTGTTTAAGTTTGGAGTTCAGGAAAGAAAAGAGAGGTCCTGGAAAACTTAAGTGAATTGATCCCTCAGGAGAATTGTAAAGAGGATTGAAACCTGGTGTATTTTAATCATGTTACCTTCAGCAAAAGTAGGAAAATCAAGCCTTGGTGTCCTGGCCAAACTTCAGTGTACTCACCAGGGTGTGTTGAGTCATATAGTTTATAGTTAAACAATTGTTTGGTTTGTACTTACATGGTGATTTCACATCAGTGGCAGCTGAAGTGGTAGCTGCATAGTTCTTCTTACAATAGTGCTGTC